CTTATCTTGAAGTACAACACTCTCTGTGATAGAGTAATATCCATATGCCTACAAGGAAGACCAGTTATGACAACTATTATTCAAATTTACTCACCAACCACACTAAAGCTAGTGATGATGACATTGAAGAATTCTACTAACTTCTTCAGTCTGAAATTGATCAAACATGCAATCAAGATCTATTTATAATTATTGGTGATTGGAATGCAAAGGTTGGAAACTAAAAGGAAGGATCGGTTGCTGGAAAATATTACATATCTCCTCAATCTTTTAGCCCTTTCTTATTTCTTGTACTAGTTATATATTTCATCTTCTTTGTTTCATCCACAATTTAGGCTATTTATATACTTTGAATATTTATTCTACCACAAATATTATCTATCCTCCCAGACAGCAAATATATTTTCTATTTTTTTATTCAAGACCTGGATAATATTGATCAATGTGTTGAAGATAATGAGGAAGCTCTGTTGTGCTATTCTAGAAACTTCTTTTTATACCAGGTCTGCTCAAGTAATTAATCAAAACTTTGTAACATACTTTGTGTAGTTATCTGATTGGTATTTAAGCTAGTTGCTGCTGCCAAATCAGTCATTATCCAGCCTAAGTCCTCCACTGTAATTCTTCCTTATATTCCAGCAATAGCATTTCTGATAGTAAAGGATCTGTTGAAATATTTGATGGGGAAAGCATAAAAATTAACCAATAATGCTGTTCAACACTCATAGGCGTGACTGATGATGGTGCCCTCATCCTCACCTGAATCCAGGACTCAGAGAACTCAGACCTGCAGATCATCCCCATTGCTAGTAGGATCTTTACAGCCCACTCAGGGATTTCAAATCTTTGAGGAGTGAAAATAGACTTTTCTTGTTCCACTTGGCATGCAATATACTCGATAGTATTGCTCAACTGAATCAATTAGTGAATAAGTAAGATTAATGCAGATTAATTGATCCAAACTTTAAATGAATTTAGCTGTGAATGTTGTAACAGTCTATGATGACAAAAACCTGTATCCTGGTGTATCCCACAAGATTTACAACTGTAAAACCTGAGCTTCATTATCTTTTTTTTTTGGTTCAATGAAAAGAGTAAATGGAACACACCTGCCTGCTCCACTGCCCAGAGGAGATATAATGTAAATGAAAATTTCCTGTGATTAATTGCCATTGATGTGTAAGATTATCATTCTTATGATGAATAAACAGTACTATCGTATATCATATTTCCATGATTTTTTTTAAGAATCATGGAAAAGTTTTCAAATGCTTTAACATTTTCCTAAGCTGTTAAACTGACTACTGATCCTTAAAAAAAAAGGAAAAAAAAAAAAATGAAGCTAACTTGGCAGGGATTTTCTTTTTAATCCTGCCTAATATGTTCTTTTTGAAATGCTCAATCATCTACTTTAAAAATAGTTCGTAAAATTTTCTGGGATCAGCATAAGCCTCACTATTCACCTTACAAATCCCTTTTTTCTTTAATTTGAAAGTTAGAACAGATTCTCAAGAGCTCTGGTATCTTTCCTCTGCTCTTTGGTTTCTCAGAAATTACTAATAGTAAATCTTAAAAAGAGTTAGGGAAAGCATCAGGTTTTAATCACTGTTGTTTAGGAATTAGTTTCACATCCATAAAGTGAGCATAAAGAATCCTATTTCTCACTGTTGTGATGAGAATTAATTATACTAAAGCATATTAAAAGATTTTTAATAAATTATAAAACCTTATATAAATTTGTTAGGCAGACATGATTCATTACTCTGGGATAGTAACAGTATACACTATCATTTTATAAGTGTTCTTGCCTAACTAGGCTCTATACTCTCTTTAAATGCTTATGAAACCAAATGTGTATTATTATGCCTATTTTACAGATGAGGAAACTGAGGATCAAGAGGGTTAAATACTGTCCAAAGTCGCACAGCTAGTAAGCAGTGGAGCCAAATTCAAACCAGGTCTGTCTGACTCCAAACCTATCCCCTAGTTCATGCCACAAAATCCGCCCATTCACAGAGGTTGGAACTCATTTAAGCAGGTTTCCTGACATTTTCTCATCTCTCCTCTGCTGCTCGCAAGCCTTTATATTGCGGATCCTAAAATGTCTAGTTTGAAACATTTTACATTCTACAGAGTCAGAAATTGTAGTTAATTAATACTCATAGTTCTGAAGGGTCATATTTTCCTGCTAACACTATACCATCTACTAAAAGCAGCAAATTTCTTTACTTCTCTTCTTTTTCTACATGTTGTTGTTGTTGTTGTTAAGTGCCTTAAAGTCGGTTCCGACCCATAGCGACCCTGTACAGGGTTTCCGAGAGCTCCTATATTTAACGGGTTTTATTAAAATCCTTCGTTTCTTTAGTCTTTAGCACTAGATGAAAAGGGACCAATTCAGTTAGAAAGACTTGAATTTGTATAGTAGATATTTTGGACAAGTATATATCCTGCATGAGATAATTATTTCGTTAATAACCCATGGCATGAGTCCTTTCCAAAATTCCTACTCATACAGATTTCTCCTTTTTTAAAAATGTCTTTATCGTTTGCATTATTAGAGATGTCCTTATGCAAAATTAGTTGTTCCACAAGTGAATGTCTTGGAATCCTGAAGTGGAAAAAAAATTATCTGTGATAGTAACAATACCTTCTGAATGTGACCTGATAATCTTAATGAAATGCTTATTCTTTGGAAATATAGTACATTTAAAATGGGCACAACTGTAATGATTGTGTAACCTTGATAGTTAAATTATCAGAAGAGTAGACAGAGTTCTATGAATGTTGACTGGTATTAGTGACCAGATACCGCTTCTTACTCATGGTGATCTGGTATATATCAGAGTAGGATAAAGTTCCATATGTTTTTTTTTTAATTAAATGTTTTTATTTTGGATTGAGTGAAAGTTTACAGGGCACATCATCAGCTTCACATTCAACCATTCATATAGCTTGTTTCATTACATTGATTATTATCCCCTCCATATATCATCAGTTAACAGTGTTTCTCTCTATCCTCTTTAGCTTTTTTTTTGGATGGGGGGCGTCCATATGGTTTTTAATGGTAGATTGCCAGCCCTTTCTTTTGAGGCTTCTCTGGGTAGAGTTAAAGTTCTAACCTTTCAGCCAAGCACATTAATCCATCGCACTAACCACTTCAGTTCCTACAAAACCACCTGTCTTACTTACACAGTACAGCTATAACAGAAATCCAAGTGGATGACTTTAACAAATAGGAATTTATTTTCTCACAGTGTGGGAGCCTAGAAGTCTGATTTCAGTGCATTAGCTCAATGGTTCTGAGGGAAGATCCTTTTCACTTCAGCTTCTGATTCCTCGTTCTTTGGCGATCTCCAGGTGGCTTGGCAACTATCTTTTCCTCTCTCGGCTTGTACTTGGCCTGCTCATTTAATATCTTGTTAGAGACTGACACAAGACACACTCTACAATAATCTTACTTCATGAACATGTCAAAAGTGACCCATTTGGGAATGAGATTATAACCACAGACATAAAGGTTAGGATTTACAACACTTATTTGTTGGGCAGACAGTTCAATCCATAAAATCATCAGTGTCTTTCTCAACTGGCACTTCCAAAGAACTCACAGTTGTATTATACTTTCATATGGACATTTAAAAATAAATTATTTACCAAAGACATGCATGGCATGCTGCCCTTTTCAGTAAAATCAATTTGGGAAAAGTTTTGGTTTTGATCTCAATTTGTTGTTGTTGTTAAGTGCCATCAAATTGGTTCCAGTTCACAGCAACTCTGTTCAGGATTTCTGAGGAGCAGCTGGTGGGTTTGAACCACCGACCTTGCAATGCATCATCTTGCAATGCCCCACCAAGACTCCACTATTTCTCTTTATAACTTCCAAAAATACTTACATACCTACCCGAACACTCTCTGCAACATTAATTTTCTTAAAATGTCTATTTTCTTGTAAGTATAGAATCAGTTGCTTTTAAAATGTCAAGAACTAATAGGCATATCTTGATCCAGTTTGAAAATTCATACACTTATGTGACAATAGCTGTTGGCAGAAATATCATTGTAATAAGAATAATGTCAAAAATTAACAGTCACTTTAGTATAATATGTGGAAAGTGTTGCTACAGTTATTTAGAGTGTATTAATAATCAATTGTAATAAAAAAGAGGGAGAAACTGTGGGAAACATATATGAGGACTTATGCCCTTGATATCTTCTGTTGTTGTTGGTAAGTGCTGTGGAGTCAGTTCTGACTTATAGTGAGTCTGTATAGGGTTTCCAAGGAGCAGTTGGTGGGATTGAACCAACTTTGTAGTTCTTAATCTAGTGCTTATGCTACATCACTATACCAGGACTCCAAAGTAACTGATAATCTTTAGGAAAATATAATTGTTCACACTAGCTAAAACATTTTATCTAAAAATGTTTTTTTAACAACACATATTGTGAACTCCGAACATAGCCTTGCTCTTTACAGAGATCTAACAATTTGGGGACTAAGTATAAAATACTGTCAGAAGATTTTTGTACATTTTTGTGTATATTTTCAGTACTTGTGTATATTTTCAGTCAACTATCTGTACTGCAAAATTAGTTTGAAATAAATGATCTCAGGAAGTGATTTAGGAGTTAACATGAGATGCTCAGGCTAAGAAAATAGTAATAATCATACTTTGGTTCTGCATGTTGTTTTCTTAATTTTATTAATTTCCTATGTACATATTTAAAAACTTAAAGTTTATTTAAATAAAAATTTCAAAAACACTTTGAGATAAGTAGTGAAATTTAGTTTCAAAAGTACTAATTTAGATTCAAATATATTTCATATATTCAAAAAAGAAGTTAAGTAGAGTAAGACTGAGTTGACAGCAGAAATAATTGGTCATATACTATTTGGGTAAAGTTTCTCTTCATAGAAACATTTAAGGTAGGAATCAGTTTAGTTTGTGTAGAGTATATCTCTTTTTATCATATATTGACAAAACTTCTGCTCTTTTGTTAAGGTATCAGATACACACCGGACTTCAACATTCTATCATAAGACCTACCCAGCCCAACTGTTTACCTCTGGACAATGCAACCCTACCTCAGAAGCTAAAGGAGGCTGGATATTCAACACACATGGTTGGAAAGTGGCACTTAGGTTTTTACAGAAAAGAGTGCATGCCCACCAAGAGAGGGTTTGATACCTTTTTTGGTTCCCTCTTGGGAAGTGGTGATTACTATACTCACTACAAATGTGATAGTCCAGGAATGTGTGGTTATGATTTGTATGAAAATGACAATGCTGCTTGGGACTATGATAATGGCATATACTCCACACAGATGTACACTCAAAGAGTACAGCAAATAATAGCTTCCCATAATCCCAGAAAGCCTATATTTTTATATATTGCCTACCAAGCTGTTCATTCACCACTGCAAGCCCCTGGAAGGTATTTTGAACACTATAGATCCATTATCAACATAAACAGGCGCAGGTATGCTGCCATGCTTGCCTGCTTAGATGAAGCAATCAACAATGTGACCCTGGCTCTGAAAACATATGGTTTCTACAACAACAGTATTATTATTTACTCATCAGATAATGGTGGCCAGCCTACAGCAGGAGGAAGTAACTGGCCTCTCAGAGGTAGCAAAGGAACATATTGGGAAGGGGGTATCCGGGCTGTTGGCTTCGTGCATAGCCCACTTCTGAAAAACAAGGGAACAGTATGTAAGGAACTTCTGCACATCACAGACTGGTATCCTACTCTGATTACACTGGCTGAAGGACAGATTGATGAGGACATTCAACTGGATGGCTACGACATCTGGGAGACCCTAAGTGAAGGTCTCCGTTCACCTCGAGTGGATATTTTGCACAACATTGACCCAATATACACCAAGGCGAAAAATGGCTCATGGGCTGCAGGTTATGGGATCTGGAACACTGCGATCCAATCGGCCATCAGAGTTCGGCACTGGAAACTGCTGACAGGCAATCCTGGATATAGTGACTGGGTTCCCCCTCAGTCTTTCAGCAACCTGGGACCGACTCGGTGGCACAATGAGCGTATTACATTGTCAACTGGTAAAAGTATATGGCTTTTCAACATCACAGCTGATCCATATGAGAGAGTGGACCTATCTAATCGGTATCCTGGAATTGTGAAACAGCTTCTACGAAGGCTCTCACAGTTCAACAAAACTGCAGTGCCCGTCAGGTACCCCCCTAAAGATCCCAGAAGTAACCCCCGGCTCAACGGAGGTGTCTGGGGACCCTGGTACAAAGAGGAGAACAAGAAAAAGAAGACAAACAAAACTAAGGCTTCAAGAAAGCAAAAGAAAAGTAAGACAAAAAAGAAGAACCAGCAGAAAGCGGGCTCATTTCCAAATTGCCATTCAGGTACTACTCATGGATAAGTACAAACTTTTCCTGCTGGGTTAAACTTAATTCTTAGCCTTTCATCTATTTTCTAAGCAAGCCAGCCAAGTTTAGCTCAATAATATACTGCCATAGCAGCAGACATGTTTTCATATTGTGCCCCATCAGAGACTTCTGTGGCCTGGATGCCTACATGGACAACTGTTCTGTTCCATGTCAAGAGTGCTACTCGTGTGAGTCACACTTGGAGGAGGATGGTTTAGTTTTCTTCTCCCTTTTCAAAAGGTGCTCAGTAATGAGTTCAACTGCTGTGCCTTAGTGAATTAACCAAGCACAATGCTTTAAATTATGAGAGGACCAGTGTCTACAATGGATGAACTAGCCAATTTGCTGAAAATTGCAGGGTAGCGTGATTAAAAAACTACCTTTGATGAAGTGTGGTAAAGGTTATATCACCTCAAAGGCCTTGAAAATATGTAATTTTCTTAGTGAATTTTTGTAACTATCATTTGATAAAAAAATTCTTAAATTAATTCTATTTAATGTATCATTTTTTTTCCTGTGAAAATAAGCTGATTTTTTCACATGTGAGCAGCTTGCACTTCATTTTTTCATGCATGAGAAAATGGCAAATAAGATTGTTTGAGCACACTGCCAAAAAATGAATGTAATTATTTTCTAAACACTTTGTGATATTTCATCTTAGAATACATAATTTATTTATACAGAAAAAAAAGATTATTTTGTTATAAAAGTTATATAAATGACTTTTGTTATTTTATTCCTGTTTTCTGCATATCATTAGAATTTTATTTCATGTCCTCAAGATTACCAAACACTGTAAAGCTGTAACTTACTATAGTAACATGTGAAGTCATACACTATAAACAGAAAATTATTCTGAAAAAGTTATAATCATTACTGTTCAGCCATTGCTTTGAATATTTTCTTTACTAATTATTTGGAAATTCCATATCTGTACAGAGCTGAGACAACTTTCTTATTTCTGTCATAAATACTTTATTTATGTATCTATTAAAATGAGTTTATTTTATGGCAATAGTAAATTTAGTCTGTTTTTCTGAACTAACTTCTAGGTAAAATTATATTATTCATCTTAACAAACAGTTGTCATTGTAAATAAGAAATTGAATATATGCCAAACTAACTAGCACAATAACATAATTTGGATTTTGCAAATAAGATATGTGTTTACCCTTGGCTGCTGCATGGAGAAAGATGTCTGATTGTTATTAATAAATATAATTTACAACCACGTGCACACTGGTGGAAGATACAGCAAAATGGAAGACATGGATCCTGCCTGGAGTAGCTAAACATCTACTTTGGGAACTCACCCATGCAAACATCCTGAGGAGGCTAGAAGAAGCATGTTCTGTAATGAAATTTATCATAAATCATCAATGAGCACAGACAAATATGGATCCTGATGCCCTGAAGTCTCCTTTGCAATGCCCGTTCCCAGTAAAAGGAATAAACGTTTCTAAGTTACATAGTTTGCACGCAAAAAGAATCATAGATGGTTAAGAGTTGTGATATGGTTTTTACAGCTGCTGTGATAAGAAAATGTACAAAGAGCTAGGACAGCATAGCATTGCTGTTGTTGTTAAGTGCCATTGAGTCAGTTCTGACCCATAATGACCCTGTATAGAGTTTCCAAGGAGCAGCTGGTGAGTTTGAACCTCAGACCTTAAGGTTCAAACCGACTTTGCAGTCCAGCGCATTAGCCCACAGCACCACACCAGGGCTAAATATGCATTCAATATTTTTATATCAGAATTTAAAGGGCTACAGATTATGAAAATAAAAGAATCCGTAAACTATTACGGTAATTACTAAAACAATCAACATTTATTCTAATTTTATTATTTTATTTCTGGAATATATACTTCTATTCCCTAATACAGTATAAAATAGTATTTCCTACCATTTCTGTTCTGTTGGCAATATATTTTAAACTAGTCTTAAAAATCAAAGGCATATTGTCAGTGTATTTTTTTGTTCTTATCAAACCGTCCCAGCAATACCTTGGAAGAAAAAGACTTGTGGTCTTCTGTTAAGATTACAGCCAAAAAACACAATGGAATAGCTCTGTTACACATGAGGTCTCTATGAGTCGGAATCAATGCTGCAGAAATTAACTACAACAGTGACACATAAAATAATGATGTGACTTATAGTAGGTGGAGGTGGTTGTTTTCATTGATAAGTGCTATGGAGTTGGTTCCAATTCATAACGACCCAGTTTAGAGTTTCTAGGAGTAGCTGGTAGGTTTGAACCACCAACCTTGCAGTTAGCAGCCCAGTGCTTATCGTACAGTGCAATACCAGTACAATAGGCTGTTGCTGTTAAGTACCATCAAGTCGGTTCCAACTTATAACAACCCTGTATAGTGTTTTCAAGAAGTGGCTGGTAAGTGTGAACCACTGACTTTGTGGTTCACACCGACCTTGGGGTCCAGTGCTTTTGCCACACCAGGACTCCAGTGCAATAGGTTGTTGTTGTTGTTGTTGTTATGTGCCGTGGAGTTGGTTCCGACTCATAACGACCCTGTACAGGGTTTCCAAGGCTATAAATCTTTAGGGGAGCAGAAAGCCTCATCTTTCTCCTGCTTTCAAGAAGCTGGTAGTTTCCAATTGCTGACCTTGAGGTTCACAGTCCGATTCGTAACTACTATGCTACCAGAGCTTCTTAATGCAATAGGTAATAGCTAATAAATTGGAAAATATAGAGTGATTTTTTTTGTTAAAAGATGAGTTTCGAGGAAGAACAAGTTTGGGAAATAGTTAAATAAAGTAAAAACTGATTTAATTAATTAATGCTAATGTAGACTTCCTTGGAGTCCTGGTGTGGCACTGTGGGCTAATGCGTCAGACTGCAAAGTCATTTAAACTGCAAAGTTGGTGGTTCAATCTCACCAGCTGCTACTTGGAAGCCCTCTACAGGGTCGCTATGGGTCGAAATCAACTCGACGGCACTTAAGAACAACAAAAGACTTTCTTATAGTTGTTTTTAAGTGCCATTCAGTCTGTTGTGACCCTGTATAGGGTTTCCAAGAAGCAGCTGGTGAGCTTGAACTGATGACCTTGCAGTTCAAACAGACTTTGCAGTTTAGAGCATTAAGCCACAGCGCCACACCAGGACTCCTTGTTGTTGTTGTTGTTGTTATGTGCCGTGGAGTTCGTTCCAACTCATAGCAACCCTGTACAGGGTTTCTGAGGCTATAAATCTAGAGCTTTCTAAATCCTAGTTTCCATTGTAAACATCTAACAGGAAAATTATACACAAAATTTTCTAACTTGTTTTACAAGAAGTCTTCTCTAAAGTATATTACACAGGACTAGAGATTTTTGGAAGAAGTTTGGAAAAATATTTGTGTAAATACATAATCTAGCAATTCCCAAAAGAACAGAAAAGGAACACAGAGGTAGGAAAAGTAGCTCATGCTTGTATTTGAGTATAGTCAGTATTGCCAAATATGATGTGATTTCTAGTTCATTATAAATGTCTGTAACACTATCAGTGAAAATAAATGTGTCCACAGTTCTCCAGCAGGGAATGTATATAGTAGTTTTCCAGCAGAAAGTCAAATTGATGTTTTAAAAAGAGTATTTGCTACCTACATAGGGCACTGGTTCAGCTGAGATATAAGAGTAATCTTAGGTTTCCTGCTTTCAAGAAGCTAAAAAATTAACATAATCATTATGTTAGAATAGAACAATGGATATTGAATGTTTTAAAATCGGAGAAAGTGTGCTCCAGGGTTGCATCCTTTCACCATTCGTATTCAGTCTGTATGCTGAGCACATAATGGGAAAAACAGGGCTATATGAAGAAGGACATGGCATCAGGATTAGAAAAAGACTCATCAATAACCTCTGCTATGCAGACAAAATAACTTTGTGTAATGGAAGCAAAGAGGACTTGAAATACTTACTGACAAAGATCAAAGACCATAGTCTTCAGTATGGGTTGAACTGTAATGAAAAGAAAACAAAAACCCTCACAAATGGATCAACAAACAGGGTCACTATGAGTTCTAATTGGCTCTACAGCTCCCAGTAACGACATAAATTGATTAATAAGTAAAACATGAAAATGTTTCTAAACTCTATCAGAAAATTGTTAGCGATTTCAGGATGTCTAAAACGGAGTCCTGATGTGGCGCTGTCGGTTAATGCGCTAGACTGTAAAGTCGACTTGGACTGAAAGGACCGTGGTTCAACGTCACCAGGGGCTTCTCGAGAACCCTGTATAGGGTCACTATGAGTCGGATATCGACTCGACAGCACTTAGTAAAGTAAAAGGAGGAAGACAGTCACTTAGTTTTATGCTGTAAACACGAAAACTATGATAACAATAAACATTTATTCTCAGATGTTTTTCTTCTAAATTGCGATCCTCTGGTTACCTTTCTAGAGCTATCCATGGCTCTTTCAGATATAAACGGTATCTCTTTTACACCTTAGATCTCTTTGTTGTTGTTGTCAGGAGCCATCGAGTCGGAACCAACTCATAGCGACCCCATGCACAGCAGAA